AATGACGGCAAGTCGGCACGAAAATGGCATTGACCATTGGAGCTCGAATCCGCGTGGGGCCCATAGGCCCGATAGTTGACTGCTCGACGTGACTTTCGGTGGTTCGCCTTCTTTTCTCTCTTCGTCGGTGGATAAAGGCAAAATTTGAAGAATAAATTGCAAGTAGAAATTAAAGCATGCATTTCACATTTATTTGCATTGATAGATCTTCACCAGGATTTATAGTTCAGTCAATTTTATAAAGCTTATAATTCAATTTTATAAAATTTATAATTCATTAATTTGGACATTTGAAGTTATTTTAAGCACCTAAAATTACACATTGTGTATTTTTTTATTTTTATTTTTTACATTTAAGTTGTATGAGCCTAGGATTGTCAATTTCGGGTCACGGGTCGGGTTCGGGTCGAACCCGGAACTGATCCGGTTCAAACGGGTCGACCCTAACCTGACCCGGCTAGACAAACGGGTCAAAAATTTGAACCGGACCTGACCTTGCGGGTTGGCGGGTTGACCCGACCCGACCCGATTTTAACATGTCGTCACGGGCTCTTACTCTTTAAAGCATGCATTTCACATTTATTTGCATGGATAGATCTTCACCATAATTAATTTTATAAAATTAATAATTCATTAATTTTGGATATTTGAAGTTATTTTAAGCACCTAAAATTATACATTGTATATTTTTTTATTTTTTATTTTTATTTTATTCTTTTTTATTTTACATTTAAGTTGTATGAGCCCATCATGAACAACATTAATCCCTCTTCTAAAAATATCATGCAAATAACTCTACTGAAGATGTTAGGTATTAGTCCTAGATTTAAGTTTGTTTTTTGTATAGCTTATTGTATGAGCCCATCATGAACAACATTAATCCCTCTTCTAAAAATATCATGCAAATAACTCTACTGAAGATATAGTGAAGATGTTGAAGATGTTTGGTTCGACTATAAGCATGTCATTATTGGAGATTATTGGTTTTCCAATTAATGTCCCAGAGTTTTCTATTACACTTCAAGTGTTTGATTTGGTCCGTTCAAATTTGAATTGGACTACTTTGGATGTCATTATGTTTATCTCGTAGAGACATTTAGTTTGACTAAAAGATTGATAAAATCGAAGTTTATACGATTATGAATTTAATTAAAAAAAATCGATTCATTATATATCAAGATTCATTCCCCAATCAAGTCAAATTATCAATGTAGTTCTGTAATTTTAAAATAATTTAGTGATCTAATTTAACAATTTTCACTAAAATTTTGATTAATGATCAAATTTGATGAAATAATAGGTAAATTTTAATGCCTTTCAGTAAAAGCAGTAGTTTGATAAAAAATTTAATTAAATTTTTTGAAATTATATTAAATGAATATGTCTAAATCTTAATAAACTTTTATTTTATTTAAATAGTCTTACACAATAAAATTAATAAATCATTCTTCGTGCCATCTAGACCATCATTTAACATGTTATTTTTGAGCATTTAATTTATGAAGCTTCTTCATATTAACTTTTAAGATGATTTTAAGAGGAATGATCATCATCATGATTTTTCAATTGATCATTATATGTTTGAAAAATAATATCGTTCAGTTTATCTTAGGGCATGTTTAGGACAATTTTCTCGCTTCTTTGTTTTTCAGATATTAGTTATAATTTCATTTAGCAACTATTTTCTTACTGTATTTTCATTGTTATTGAAAAATTTAATAGTGAAAAGTTATTTTTTACGATCAGAATAGCTAAAGTACTATCTCCACAATAACTTTACATCCAACTTTATAAAATATTGAAATGGTTCTTGATACGTTATCACAAAATAATCTTGATTGGGCACGAATCTCGAGGCAAAACTTAGTTGGAAACTTCAACAATTAATTTTGGGAGCATATGAACTCCGATTTCAGCAATCTTATAGCCAAATTGAGCGTCTCGGAAATACGAACCCAACGACAAGCTTAGATTGTAAATCAAGGGGTCGCGAATTTAATTTCCATTTATGTGATATGTGTGAATTTATAATTTAATTTGTTCTAAATTTTCAAAAATAAAAATAAAATTATGTAAAAAAAAAAAACCCATTTTATCATAAAATAATATACTTATATATAGAATAATCTGTGTGACTTTGAATTTCTTTGTCCATTATTGAAAAGTAAATTATGGCTGCAAATAGTCAGTTTTTTCGCCTGCCTCGCAATAACACCCAAATTTTACCGTTACAACTGACCCGGTTTTCACCCAAATCCGTTCCAAATCCGATAACATCGCAAAAGGCTTTTATTTGTCGTTAGATTTCCTTAGGAAAATTTCACCCAAATCCGAATTTAAATTTATATAAATAACAAACTATGTTGTATTGTATAATAAAAATTACAAAAATAAAATTATAAAACATACGTATATATATTGAAATATTCATGAACGCTAATGTTTAATTACTACGAAAGTGCATTTGGAAGAAGCAAAACGACTTTGCGAGTTACATTATAAATTGAAATTTTCAAATGTGTCCTGAGATGCATATTACACATTTTAAAACAAAAAGGAAAATACAAGTGGAATAGGTGATGAAAAAATGATCTTTTTTATGTTACTTTGAGTAGTGGTGTCAAAAATTGCACGACCCACCAACCCGACCTGTTCAGCATGCTCGGTTAACAAACGGGTCGAGTCTAGGTCTAAAAATTTAACCCGTTTAATAAACGGGTTGAGTCTTGGTCAACCCACCAACCTGAAATTAACCCGATTTTGACCAGGATCAGATCAATTTATGGATTTTGCCGCAAAAGCACATGTTTGATATACAGATTTTGCCGAAGAAGCAAGGATTTGATTTATGAATTTTGATGAAGAAGCACATGAAATTCGAAATCCCACCGCAACATTTTGTTTCTTTCGCATGTCTTTGTGGTTTGGGTTAGCGGATCATCGGGATTTGAAAGAAGAAACCAGACGCATGCTAGGCAGACAATTACAGATTTGGCATAATAACAGAATTTTTTTAAAAAAAAGGGTTGGCGGGTCGTGCCAGGTTGGCCCAGATCAGAACCAGGTTGGGTTCAGGTTTGGGTATGTAACTTGTTTCCCTAATAGGGTCATGTTCAAGTCAAGTCAGGTGATATATAGCAGGTCATTTTTGGATAGGACCTGCACCCAACCCAAGAACCCATTTTGACACCCCTAAGTCTAAGTGTCTTACAATATTTCTGTCATATTTAACTGAAATGTTTCAATAAAGATTATTTCATCAAGTACAGATTTTGATGTAGTTTTTTAATAAAAATTTTTAGAATTAATTTCAATATTATCGAGTTTTTTATTTTGATATAGAAGAATTGAACATAATATGAGATAATTCTAATGACATAAAAAATTATCTCATTTGACTCCAAATGATCTTAAATTAAGCACTTGAGACTTTATAGTATTAATTAGATGAACACATAATTTTCATATCTAACGTGCTTACAACCAAATTGAGTGTTTCGATGAGAAGAATCTAACAAACCCAAGTTCAACTCAATTCTGAGATCATTAAGACATTTAAATACTAAAATTATCAATGACCAAGAAAGTCAACTTGAACAGTCTAATGAAGTGTTTTAGAGCAACTAAATTTAACAAAATATCATTTTTGAAAACTATAAATTAATAGACTCACATTATCTACATGAAATGTAGAATTTGGGGCTAAACATAAACTTGGAGTTGGCAATGGTTCAGACAACAATTGACGCCAATGATCACTACGAACAACAACCATCACCCAACTATGATCTCTCTACCTCCTTTATAAGACTTTAGTGTATTGACCAAAATCGCTCAACTACAGTCCCCCAACTATCACCAGCTTATTTTTCTCTCATAGTCACTAATAATATTGATACACATCATAACTGATAAAAGTAATTTAGATCGTCGACACCATCGCTAACACTCAGTAACATTGATTTTCATTTCCAAAAGTATTGTTACACACAATTGCCTACAAACGCTGCGACGCGATCATCACTGAACATTGTTAACGTATGACGCCAACACCAATTCTGGCACCCACTGACTTTATCATTTGTCTTCAAACATAACATTGATGCATGTCATCACCAATATGATCAACGCACCCTATCGACATCAACTTCGATCCTCGACGTCAACACCAAGATTATAATTAATGAATGAACATACCAATAAATCATATCTTAAAAATAACTCAAATGTCTTAGGGCTCCTCCAATTTTCATCTTAGAATTTATCATTTTAGTTCATGTTTGCTACATTTTATTAACATCTTTAGTAATTATAAGGAAAAACATCATTTAAAGCATGAGATATTTGTATTGAATCATATCAACTAAGTCATATATCATAGTTTTTTTTTCTTTTAATATATATATTATGTTCTAATTTTTCATATAAAGTTAAGAATTTAAACTCGTCCTTCACACTAACAAATATTTTAACATGCAATAAAAATCACTATATTTTTAATAAAAATTCATATATTATTATTATTTTTTAAAAAAGTGGTATATTTATTTATGGGTAAAATGAGAAAGTGATATATTAATCTGAGTGTTAAAAATCTTATGGAGTGACGCACTTTAAATAAATGATCTGAAAGTGTTACAGTAGAAGCTGGAAGTGCCGCATTAAATGCTATCGAACTATCTCCACATGATCACGTCTTATCAAAGCAAATTTAAAGGCTGTGATGTATTGAGCTTTTTTTACATTTTCACCTATGATGGACATATTAATATACCCTAAATTACGCAACACGGCAAAGAAAAAATAAACCAAGAATGTTGAAATATTAATAAGACATTTTATATGCGTAGGAAAATTATAAACGTGACATCAAAGGAAAGACAAGTCAAGAAGACTTCCCTTTCCTAGTCCGAACCACTTGGCTCTTCTGCCAACTCCTATAAGAGCTTGACTTTGACGCCTAACATTGACAATAAAGAAAATCATCCATGGCCGACATGCAAAGGGAAACTTTCCTCCTCATTCACTAAATGATCAGTCATTGATTCCTCTCTTACAAAGTTCATAAATTATTCACATAATTTCTTCCCAGCTAGCTCAACAATCTTAACAATCTACTTTTCTAAAAGGTAAATGTCATTAATTGGCTGACCTCATATGCATGTGATCATCTCTCTCTATATATATAGCCCCTTCAATTTTAATTTCTTCTTCTAACAAGCAAAGTTTCTTCTTCTTCTTTAAAAGCTGTACTAGGATCCCAAACACTATTCAATTCTTCTTCTTCTTCGTCCTCTTCTTTCTTCAAGCTTCGATTATATATATATCCTTTGTTTGTTCTCCTGGGTGACTACCGTTGATTGATTACCATCGCCATGGAACCTGCAACTTGTCTCGGATTTTCCACTCTGAATCTAGAGCTCAGCGTCGGCCCAGCAGACCTCACTGAAAAAGGATTGGCATCTAAAACGCCACCAGATCGGCAACAAGAGGTATGTTTTTCTCCCTCTTTGACGATTCTTAATTAAGCTGCCTGCTTAAATTTGGATTTCTCACATTTAATGTTTAATATAACAGTCTATGTTCATGAAAGAGAAACTTAGCAAAATAATGGAAGATAATAGGAAGTTGAATGAGATGCTAAGTGATATGAGCACAAACTACTGCAGCCTTCAAAATAAGTTCTTTGATTTCATGAACTCTTCGCCTTCCGAGAAGGCGGCCGGAATGGCTTCTCCTCCCACGGGAAAGAGGAAGAGTGATAGCCTCGAATCGTATAGCCATGAAAATGTTAACAATGGAGTCAAGGCTCATGTTGAGAGCTTGCCAATTGAATTCGATTCTTGCAAGAGGTTGAGAATGGATTCCAAGTCTAGTGTCTCCAAAATATGCGTGCGAGCTGATCCATCTGAGACGAGCTTGGTGAGCATATATATTCAAATCGAAGCTGATTCGTCAAGAACTTATATGAATGAACCAACTAGATTGATTAATTAATATTTGTTTTAATTCTGATTTATGTTCTCAGGTTGTGAAAGATGGCTATCATTGGAGAAAATATGGGCAGAAGGTTACAAGAGACAACCCCTCACCAAGAGCTTATTTCAGATGTTCCTTTGCCCCTTCATGTCCAGTTAAGAAGAAGGTATGCAAGGGATTGACAGCATATAATGATGAATTTATAACTTACAACTTAAAAGTGATTGACGGTACCAAATTATGAAATTTGATTTGTGACGTCTAATTGCATGTATAGGTTCAAAGAAGTGCCAATGATTTGTCGATCTTAGTTGCAACATACGAAGGCGAGCACAATCATAAGGCACCCTTGCAAAGTGAAGGCTCGGGTCGATTGAGCCATGTTGGTAGCTCGATCACTCCCTCGCTATCCATAAACTCTTCGAGCCCGACAATCATGGTCGATCTTACTAATGATAAGTTGCACGCGGAAGCGAAAAAGGCTTGCGGGGAGATGGCATCCACAGAGATTCAGAAGTTTATGATTGAGCAGATGGCGGCAGCAATTGCAAAAGACCCAACCTTTAGAGCTACTTTAGCAAATGTCATATCTGGAAGGATCTTTTAGCTCCCAGCATATGAAAATTGATCACATATTTTCATCTTAGGTTCTTCTTTCAGAATTTTATTTTATCTCGTAGATAACATTTTGTGATTTATTGAGCTTTTGATTGCCCAAAAGAGCAGAAAGTTGGTAAGCTTAAAGTTTTCTTTCCAGATAAGCATATTGAAAGCAAGTTGGGCAATTTAAGATGAAAGATTTTTTTTAAAAAAAAAAAAAAAGCAATTCCACAGCTCAACTTGGACTTGAATTTCCTTTGTGGAAACTATGGGTTTTGGAATGTTCAATTTTTGAGAAATGGAAGATACAACGAATTCATGTTTCTAAGTCAATCCAGCACCTGAACAAAGACTTCTATTACTGTATTCACCATGATCGTCTACATGGTAATTAATTAAGCAGCTTCTGTTCTTATAGCTTTACTCTTTTCTATGTTTTGATTAAACTATTGATCTTCAATTTCTTCAGTGAATTCACCATAAATGATTTAAAAAGCACTAACCTAATTCTGTACTTTTTTAAAGCTGCAGAAGTTTCCTTGCTATTATCACATGTGATAAGGAATCTCATTTCTCTATATATATAATTTCCATTTGATTAAGGAAAACTATAGGAATCTGAGGCTATATTTGCAGGAGTTTTATTGCTCTTTTGACTGCTGCAATATTTACTTACAACAGCTATAAAACCTCTGAAAAACAATTCCAAATGCCTTCTGGTCGTTTAAAAAGCGTTGGCTTGTATTTTTTGCAGTAATTTTAACTGCTGCCAGATTGCAGCGATTTAAAAATGCAACGGTCAAAATTTCTGATAAAAAAAAAGGTTACCTGAAAATATCTATGAATTGCAAGGCTTTTATTCTGTAGCAGTGATTTTCGCTGCTAGAAACATAGGAAGGATGCTTTAATGATAGTTCGAACTATCATTAAAAAATTTCAGTAATGAGAGATTATTCTGTGCAGACGTCAAACGCAGTTACCATCCCGAGACCAACAAGAATGCACCACGTCAGCGGTACCGAACCGGAGTTGACGTGGCAAATTCTAGTTGATCACCGAACAACGTTTGGCATCCACATAGAATAATTTCGCATCCCTTCCTCCTTCCTTCCTCCAAGGGCGATTTTTGGCAATAAAAACTCTCACAGAAATAATTGTTGGTGACAAAACCCAACATAGATTGGTAAAAGTTCAGCATTCACACAGCTGATAGACTGTGGAATAATTAAACAATATTATATGCAATATTTATTTAATTCATTCTATTACAATGTCATTGTTTAATTTTATTCACTCCCTCTCATCTCTCTCCATCATTTCCTCTCTTCTATCCTTCCTTCCTCTTATTTACTTTATTACAATGTCTTTTTTAATTTTTATTCACTTTCTCTCACCTCTCTCATTTGTTCACTCTCATCTTCATTTTCTTCTTCTCCTTTACTGTCTTCCTCTTCATCTCTTTATATTATTGTGTATTGCATGCAGACTTATTTAATGGTGCATCACATTATTTATATTTTCTGGCATTACAACACTTACATGCAATTGCAAATTCTCAATCATTACAGCAACCTAATACAGGAGGACCATTCTTATAACTCATCTTCTACATAGTTATTATTGGAGATATAGGATGATTGGGCATTACAACCTATGCATTCCAATTAAGTCTAATCCATAATTTATTTTCTTCTTTTCTTTCTTTGCCTCGTTCCAGAGTTGAAAATTTCATTGCTCAGAATCAACCATATCTATTAAAGCCTTAAACTTTTATGTAGCTAGAGGTGTTAATAAATGATCTGATCTATGAAATCGATGTGAACCCAACTTATAAATTTTGGGTTTAATTATACCCACTTAATAAATGGATCAGTTTCGAGTTTAGATTGAATTCTGACAATATTATTAAACAGGTTGGGTTAAGATTGACCTGTGAAACAAATTTTGATGACCCGTGAAACTAATTTTGACACAAAAATGACTTTTTATTTAATTCATTTACTTTTTGGTTTTTTTAATCAATTTATCTAAATTTTATAATTGACAAGATTAAAACAATTTATTGAATTTGAGTGGATCGGATTTGGTTTCACTTTTTTAACTTGTTTATTAAGCCGGTCAAGTTCTTGGTTGACTGGATTTAAGTCGGATCGGTTTCAGATTGGTCTCTAACCATACCCATTAACCCCTTTTGATATCCTATCTTTATGTCATTGAGACTCATATACTTATCCTACAAAAGATTTATTAATATTCAATATATTCTCATAATACTAAAAAAAATGCTTCTTATTATGAAGCATTAATCCTTAACACAAATTATTGTGATTTATTGTTAACCCATTATTAGTATGGCTATCTTTGATGCATGTAACTTCAACATAGTGGGATCTCTGCAAAACATCTACTTCTATGAAAATAGTTTATATATATCAGATGTATGTATCAAATGTATATACAATTATTCCCACTACTCTCCTCCTACACTTAGTATTGTAAATTAAGAAGTCAGGGGTGGAACCAAGAAGAGCTCAGGATGGGCAATTGTCTACCCTGGATTTTTTTTAGAAGAATAAATATTTTAACTATTTTGCTCACCTTCGATAAATGCAATTTCTCAACTTCTAAAAAAGATTATTTTATATTTCATATGTAAAATTATATATTTCACAATACTATTTTGCTCATCTTCAAACGAGAGGCCGACTCTACCCCTGTTAGAAGCCCAACCTTATTTTGATCTCTATCATGGGCATTCGCCAAACTACGTTACATTATGCATAACTCGGCCCACAATCCCTCCTAGTATGATAGAATATGGTTGATAGGTGCATATGATATATCGCTATTTAGAAGGTTAAATTTATCAAAAATAATATATTTTTTACATTTGCTAATATTTAGAATTTACTTTCTTGGAATAAGGCTTCATATTGAGATTAGAGACTATATGATTTACCTTTCACTATCCCAAAGTTTAAACTTCAGGCTCCTAAACGGCTACACATGTTATTGTTGACCTCGATTTTCGCTCAAGCATTTTGGAGCACCTTCGATTGGCTTGATTAGACCTCCCCGAGCCCAACTCGAACTCGAATCGATCCGAATTGATTTAAATTAGACTCGACTTTTAAAATTGATGTCAATTTTGAATTCAATTCGTAAGAATAATGGGTTTTACAACTTTGATTCAATGTATTAAAATTTTGCAAATTATATATCATGATTAATCAATGAATTATCATTAATCTCATTTATGATAACTATAATTATAAGTGATCAAAATAATTCATAAGGATAATTTTTTTCATCTAAATAAAGATGTTTTTTTTTTATGGGAAATCCACAAAGGAGCCTACGCGTTAATATAAATCCAAAAATACAAAGCCCTTAGGGGGACGATCAACTCACTAATGCTCAAAGAGCTACAAAAAATTAAGGAAAGAAAACCTAAGAGCCAAAAGTCCCCTACTACTCCAAAATACAAATTGTCTAGATATAATCTAAGGCGGCACCAAGAAAGTGCCCAAAAAAAAATCAAAATAAACTCAATCAGCACAATCTTTCTGCTAATAAATGACCTCCACACCAAAATAATCATGCAAAAGAATAAAACACCAATCCAAAAGGAAAAAAACAAAAAAGAGAATGCAAGTACAAATAATAGTTAAAAAGATAAGCACAGATACAAATGACATTACTAGATAAGATAATAAACCGAATAAGCTACGACCAGAAATATCCCTAGCAGATATAGCCATAATCGTGATCCCAAATTTCCTAAATAAGTCAACTGATAAGTAAACCAACCGATTGATGAACTGGAAAGAGCCAGGTAACATATTAGCCTCCATAAAAGAACCACGCACATGATCGGTTAAAGCACCACCCAGAAAACTATCTAAATGATCAGCAAGACCACTCATATAGGATAAAAACCAATAAGCCCCATGAAGCCAACCACATAAAAGTAAATCTCAATACCTGAGCCACCAAAAAAAATGATTCCAATCCAATAAGAAGAACCAATTGAAACCCCCAGCTAAACAAAAATAAAATGAAAGTAAACCGAGCTAGCCAATACATAAGGAAGGAATCCCACCAGATCTTCCCCAACAACAAGACCAAAGGGAACATGATAGAAATATTACCGGCATACTGGGAGGAAGTCCAAATCTCAACAACAACAAACCTCATAAATATGGAAACAGAGATATTTTTAAACCAAAAACCAAAAAAATTAACATAAACAGATGGCCCATCAGCCAAGCCGAATATAAGGTAATCCAAGTTTGTCCAACTTAACCAAACCTCTCAAGAGAAAAGGTTAATTAGAATCAACAAACTCATGAGTAGCCTCAAGTTGACAATCAAATTTGGCCAATTAATCCGCACAGGCATTGCCTTCCAGATATATATAAGCAATAGTATAATTAAGGGCAGAAAGAAAATGTTTAATTCTTCTAATAATATATAAATTATGGGAATGGCCCGTAACCTCATTTTGAATTATCTAAATTAAAAGCAAAGCATCCACCTCAATATAAACATTTGTAATCCCCCACCTATGGCAAATGTCAAGGCCATGTGACAAATCCATAAGTTCAGCAGTAATCACATTACAAAGATTTAAAGGCCCAGCATAAGTAACAATAACGTCACCAAACTGATTACGAATAATACCACCCATACCCGCGGAAGAGATCCCAACCGAACTATCAGTATTAAGTTTAAAAAAAGGAGTAGTAGGTTTGATCCACCTCACGATTCTCTTGATTTTAACCAATGGCTCAGTATTAATGGATATGCCAAACTTAAAAGACAAATCTAAACCATTCTTAGAATTCTTAACAGTAATAAGATGAACTGAATGAAGTTGTAAAATTTTGTTTCTCACATTAGCAATAATATGATTGGCATACTTTCTGATCTCATTATTGCTGGCATCATTTCTAGCCCTCCAAAGGAACCACATAATAAGGATCGACAATAAATTGTAGATGTTTCTTTTAGTATTAGTCACCTAAACCTCTAAGATAAACAAAATATTACTATGAAGGTTGAGATTATCTTTATTAGCAAGATCAAGAAAATAGCTCCAAACTTTCTGAGCAATGCTCCCATTCACAAACACATAATTAATATTTTTAATATTAAAAATACATTGACATTTAGAATGAAAGCTAAAATCTTTTTTCCCAAGTAAAGTGTCAACAGGAAGAAAGCCTTTAATATATCTTCAAGTAAGAATAAGAACAGAATAAGATAAGGGAATGTTGTTGTGCCAAATAGCATAATAAATAAGAGATTTGTCATAATTAATTCTAATAGTATCACGAACATTTTAAAGCTTAAATTTACCAGACAGAGAAATATTGAATAAAATTTTATCACTGTAATGTAACTATAAATGGATGTTCAGG